AAATGAAGAATCCATTAATAGCCTGGACAGAATTTTCTATTCCTGGGGCTTGCAGCTGACCATAGAAAACACTTTCGAAGATTAGAGGAAGTGTTTATTACTGAAGAAGGAATTTTTTGTTATTAGTTTGTGCATTAGTTTGTTTGGGCTTTTCAGTGTTTTTTTTAAAGATTATTCCCTCATGTTACAACATACACTTTCAACAAAGCCTTAGCTCCAGGAGAGGAATATGTACTTGAGACATATGTAACTATTTGCCTAAATTGTAATCTTACAATCCTGCAAACTAAAAAAGAAATGCATATATGTTACATGATAAATTGATCCAGGTACTTTACAGGCTTTAACTTATTAGGTACTCATGAGTAGCATTTTGTGAAGTAGGTAAATGGATATTGACCTTATTTTATTAAATAGAGGAGGGTGATGGCCTGAAAGACAAAAACAATGTAAGAGGAAAAAAATTACTGCCCTAAAATGCTTAGACAGCAAATTATTTTAAAAAGGTGTCATTATACATTATGAATCTCGGGAAGAGAAAAAATTACTTGTAGTACTCTTTCCACTGAAGTTGACAATAGTCCATCAGGAGCAAAATGTTCTTGGCAAAACTAGATAAGCACCAAAACCTTCTGTTAGGTGTACTGAGTTTTAGTGGTGGAGTTACATTATCACATTTGAATTGATCCTTCTTGCTTGACTGCATCAGCATTTTGTTATGTATCCTAGAACACAGACATGGACATGGTATAGTTGCTCAGTATGGAAAAACTGAGTAAACTTGAACGTAACTGATTAGGGTACACCTGCAGATATGGAAGTTCTTTTTGTTGGTGTCTACCATTTATTTGAGGGGTCAACCTAATAGAGCCAAACTTCCAATTTAATCTGTACTCAGCAGGATTCAAACCTCTTCAGCAAGACCTCAGTAGATTTTTAGTCTGTTGCCTCAACCATTCTGCCTTGACCATGTGACACATTTGTAGAAACCTCGCTGTGCCTGCTGGGAAGGTCACTGCTGATGATTTGCTCTAGCCATGGAGAGTAAGATGATGTTATGGCTGTCACTGTAAGCCACAGGTCCTGTGGTCTGGCCTCTCCAGCCACTGACTGCTCTCTGTGCTTGTAAGTCACCGCACTGTGGGAAATTGGTGGGAGAGTGTAGTCCAAGGGTGTTGAGACCTGGTGATTTTTTGGGTGTCAAGATTAAGATCCTTTCAAGGAACTCTAATACCACAGAAGGCTGAGTATCATGATTTTACCTTCACTTTGTAGAGTAATTAAGCAGCCTGTGTAGTGTGTGCAGTTTTCCTGAGATACTGCTGATTTTTGTAGACAGAATGTATGAAAATCTTACTATTTTATGTCTGTATAATGTATTCTCCATAGTGTGGGAGGACATACTGCTGAGAAGGTCAGTCGTGATTCATTATATAGACATTGAATCCTCTTTTCATCATATTTGCAGCTTGTACATCTTTTCAGATACTTTTATTTGCCACTTTTCAAGTAAGTAGCTAAATTAGTAGCTGAGCTGTAAATAATAGTAAAACCCCTCTAAAAACAGTCTTACTGTTAAAGGGGAGGCATGTTTATAGATTTTTAGTGTCTTTTCTTTGCCACTAACTTGTGGAAGAGGGAACAAGAAGGTCACATCTTTATTCATGTACTAACTTAGGTAAGAAGCTTAATCCTTCAGTGGTTAAATGTTAAATTCTTCCTTCAAGTTTCCCAGCACCTTTAAGTCCATCAGCTTCTTGAATTGCACACACAATACCTTCTCCAAGCACAGAAAATCAAGGCAAAAGATTTAATACCTATAAAAAACTATTTAACAGGGAGGTTTTCTGTGAAACATTTGAAGATCCATGGCACGGCACAGACCTATTATAAAATCTCCAAATTCCCCTCTAAAATTACCGTAGAAGGCTCTGGTTCCTCACCTATCCTCACCTACAGCCAAGCGGTGAGCTAGAAGAGAAGGAGAATCCAGATGCATTAGCAATCATCAGAGATGTCTGTTCTCCTGGTTTGGTACCCCTAATGATTTAGATACTGCATATTGAAACTGATTGCAAAATCCATACTGTGGATCGAAGCTCCTTAAGAGCTTCATGCTCATCCTTGCACGGAAGGGGTAATTGTAAGTGCTCTGAGCTTCTGTCCTGGAAGTCTAAATTAAGAGCAAGCCTCTGGGCTGCTTCTAGGCCTGCAGTAACTTCCCAGGCTTTGTCCTCCCTCTGTAACCAGCTGACCTGAGCTGCCCCCAGAATACAAATCACTGCACCATGCTGTCAAAACAAATTACTAAATACTGGGCAGCACCACAGAGGAGACAGAAGACAGGATCTCAGTGAAAGTAAAAGGTTGCTCTCCCATGCTTGCTGAGGAGTTAGAACACGTTAAATGCTCTGGTGGGAGGGAAGCACTCCCCCTTTCCCAAATGCTGCTCTGAGACTTGATCCAGAAAGTAATCAGGTCTCCCATGAGGAGAGGGGGTGAGATGTAAGGAGGCTCTGCTGGAGCATCACCCACCTACCTAAGAAGCGCACCCAACACACTGCAGTGCCTGCAGGCTTTGCGGAAGGGACTCAGAGGGCAGAATTTTCTGTTTGCATCTTTCATGGTGGGGGGTGGGTACAGGCACAAACCAGGGAGGAAATTTGTGCAGGGAGTGAGCACTTGATACCCCATTTCTCCTGTGATGCTGTCTGAAGCAGGCGGGCAACTCCAGGAGCTTGATGAATGTAAGGCTGCAGGAGCAGGTCACCCATAGTCTCCATCTGCATCAGTAATGGCACTGGGAGCCACCCTGGGCTCTGGGGATACTTTTTTTTTGGCTTTCACTGTTTCATCTGCTGCCAATGCCCCGAACATGGTGCAGCAGATGTGGGCAGGGCCCTGGCAACTCTGATGTCTTTAGGGTACTTGCTTCCAGGCACTACCATGGTTATGTACCTGCTTCTGCTTACTGCTTTGTGGAGGAGCTGTGTATGCTAGTGGGGTGATTTGATCTGGTGGTTAAAATGACTTTTTATAAGCACTGTGCCTAGATGCCTTTGGGAGAAGTGGGTGAAGAGATGGGACAGGGCACTGAGACTGCTGTTTGAATAATAAAAGAATAGCTTCTGGTTAAATCTGGGTTGATATTCCCTAGGGAGCCAATACTGCCTTCAGTTACTGACATGATGGCTTTTTGCTCTTCACCTGTGAGTATCTCCCTCACCTCCCACATACCACTTGCACATAAATTCCTTACAGCCTGCTCTACTGCTTTCTTATAGGGGTGTGTGCTGGAACTGAACCCATTGGTGCTTAATGAACTAGATATTTAAAACTTATCATTTAGGTTATACCCCTACATTCTTTTAAATGAATACACTTCAAATATTTACTAATCAAAAGTAAGCTCATTTAAAATGCCACTAAATTAAGCTGATTCTACTTGCTTGAACTAATGTCTTCATATAGTTCATCCGGATTAACCAAAACATATGGACGTGGATATTTCAGTAGAGAGACAGACAGAATAATAAGGAAACCTCATTTCCATTTGTAAAAGTCCTAATTATCCTGACATTTAAGAGAGTACCAGTTTTCCAGTAAAAATACAAATGAGGAAATTTCTTTAATCAGAGCACAATATGCAAGACCTTCTCAGAACAGCTCAAACTAATGCAGACTTGAATGTTAAATGCCTGCAAGTACTGGGAAAATGGTTTGTGGAGTCCTGGGGCTTTACCAGAACCAATGCTCTGAAAACTGTGATTTCCCCATAACCCACCTAGTAGCTTTTGAACTCAGTGCCTGTTCCTAAAGTTGGCAGAGAGGCAAAGGTCTCAGAGACCTTATGCTTTGACATATTTCTTGAAAACTTATGGGACAATAAGGGAAGAAGGCAGTACTGAGGGAGGAGAGGTTTATCATGTGGGTATGAAATAGAATTTTGTAGGCAACAAAGCTGCATTTGTCCTGCCGCTTGTAAAATAAGTTGGTTTTCATTTACAGTAAACTATGCAAGCCGATACCAAAATATGCTAGAAATCCATGTTCTATTATTTTGTTAACAAGTGATTTGTAATTTACTTCATGCTTTGTCATTATTTTGAGGAGACTTGGTTGTTTTGTTTGATTTAGAAGTGAGCTCACCTACTTGCTTGTGCAGTTTGGAGATACAATTCAAGCACTGTTCTTTGCTCCATTGCACCAGTTTTGTCATGATTTTACTGAGGACTTTGTAATATGTGTTAAAAAGACAAGCTGAATATATTTGAAACTGGCATGCTAAATATATCAGAGGGCTTATTTTTCTTGGAGAGCTGAGGCCTGCCATTTGTATGCAATGAAACAATTTGGAAACATTAATCAGGTGGCCTCCATGCTGGAAGTGGATTTTGAACTCTTGATCAGTAGACTAGAGGCTGATGATAACTCACGATAAACCATGGAAATTACCTGGGGGGTGGGGGTGGGGGAAGAACTGATAGCTACACATTTTACGACAGATTATAAACTCCTAACCAGGTTATAAACCCCCTTCCCCTTTTATGCAGCTGAGAACAGTAGTCTCTTTCTTGTAAATGAGGTCTCCTACAATGGAAACTGATGGCTGAGAGTCTGAATTAAGAACACAGAAGGAAAGACAAAAGAGTGAAGCCTGTTTAATTAGGATGAAGGATACTCCCCCTTGCCCAAATCCTCCAATCCCAGTTTAGCAGAGCATAGGGTTTGTTAGTGCTGAAAGGTCTGGCTTGCTGACTTGGGGTAAACGCAATGCTTGGCAGATGAAGTCATGCATAATTAATTGTTCTTTGTTGCATTCTTTCCAATGTAATGACTTGTAGCATTCACGCTTATAATAATTGATGTTTTCTGTGTGCTGGAGCTTCAGGACAGCCAATTAAGGCAGTGGAGGTGGTAGCTGTGCAGCATCTCTAGCATCTGTCTGTTACCAACATGTGGGCTATAACTTTTTTTTCCTTTTCTTTACTTGTTTTTAGTGCCTAAAACAGTACATGCAGCTGGCAATTCAAGAAGGTTGTGGTTCTCCTATCACGTGTCCAGACATGGTATGCTTGAGCCATGGGACCCTACAAGAAGCAGAGGTATCAACACTTTTTTCTTTTTCTTTTTCTTTTTTTTTTTTTTAAAGTAAGCCCCCAAAACTTCTTTATCTACATAATAAATACAACCATACACTTTTTACTCCCTTCAATTACCTTTAATGAGCTTTTGGCAAGAAGCCTGACTGACAAGAGGAACTAGAAACGAACAGATGTTTTTCAAGGATTTTGCTCCTTTTTTCCTCCCTGTGTGCCTTGAGGAAGTCTTACTTGGCATCCGGACAACCTCTGAATTACCCATGCAGGTGACTTAACCAGAATACCCTGTATCCCAGAACTGCTGAGCCTTCATTAGCACTGTCAGTTAAATCAGATTTGATTTGACTGCAAACAAATTCTTGTGCCTCTCTTAACTCAAGAGCAAGAACTCAGACTGATGGTACACAAAAGTCTAGAATTTCTTCATATACGTTTATATTGGGCTGCAACAATCAATCTGTAGTCCAATATAAACACACAAGAGTCTATAGATATACGGAAAGAAAAGGATTTGCACAGCAGTGGGTGGAAGTAGGTCTTAAGAGATACGAAGAGTGTCTTTATTCCCAAGGCAGATATGGGAGAGGTAGAGAGCTCAGAAGCTAAATAAGGTTTATGCAGAGCTGTTTACACATCTGGCATGTGCACAGTCTCTCAAGAGTAAAGTGATTTCAAACTGGAAAGTCCAGTTTGAAAGTTGGAGGCAGAGAAACTGGAGGAAAAATGTGCTCCTTAGACCTTCTTGCACCGCTTGGGACAATGAGGTTCAAGGGGGCTGTAGATGGCCTCTGCCAGGCTGCCTGATGGCCTAGCAATGATCAAGCAGCCTCCTGCCTGTTTTAGGGCTGGTGTAAAGTTTCTTAATTGGGCTTAAGATCAAACCCATGACATGGGGAAGAGCTGTTGGCAGTGTGACTGTGGAACCCTCAGACATGACAGCTGTTCTGTGAATCTAGAAGGCCACAGAAGACTGTGGGCAAATATGATGTTGTCCTGTGGCTATTTTTGCTTGCTTGCTTTGTGAGCCAAGTAAGACCCTGCTAGGCCTAAGAACACAAGCAGGAAAAAAAACTTAACCAGGAAAAAAAAGGTGGCTAAGGGATTTTGGCTGGTATTGTGTGTTCTCTCTGCATTTGTTTGCAGGGATAAAATCAAGGAGAATCAGATCTCCATCCTGAACTGAAGAAAAGAAACTTATTTTCTGCCTTCCCTTGAGCCCTGTGTATACAGATGGCATAACTTTGGTAGAAGTATACAATCCCATTCAAGTGGAATTAGTGGCAGTGCAACTCCCAATACCAGAAATGCCTTTTTCTCCATAAAAATTCAGGGTTTCCTCTCCAGCATACATTTGAAACACCATGCTTAGCTGAATCAGGGCCTAGGAGTTACAGCTATGTTTGTTATGGCATGCAGGCGTATGGTGGAGCTTTTCTTTGGCTGAATCCAGCTATTGTGGAAAGTAGCCAGTTGTTTGCCTTCCTCCTTTCTTCTGCACAGATACAGAGAGGGTGTAGCAATGTCCCTCCTACCCATCACACCTGATGGGAGACAACTAGTCACCCCTGAAAATATAGGGTTTTTAAAGAAAATTAACAAATGGGAGGAAGAATTCTGTTCTGTTAAGACGGGGTTATGATGCTATAGGAATTATAGAGATGTATTTCCAGTTAGTAAAGCAGGAGAACACTCCAGGGCATGTATTAATGGACCATTACCTTAATCCATGGGTGATTTTTGGGCTGAAGACAGAATGACTAAACAGCCCAAATGTGCATTAGTGTCCTGTGGATGAATGAATGTTCTCATACTCCCTTTTGGCGATGCACTTGAAACGCAGACCTTCCACTTGAAAAACAAACAGGCCCCCAGCCTGGTTAAAATGAACTGCTTATGTATTTTACCAAATACCTGTTTCTTTAAGGAATAAAGAACCCCAGAACCCCCAGGAACAATAGAAAAAATAGATTATCTCTGTTAATAATCTGAGAGATTAGTATGTAAACTACAGATTATGTATGAGCACTCTATAGTGCTCATAGAACTCTAGGCTGTTCTCTGTGAAAATGTGGCCTTTAAAAGCTATTATTTTGAAAGGGCTCAAACCAGTGAATTTCTGATTAAGACTAAACTGTGATGCATGAAAGTTTTGCTTGTGTTTTTTTCCCAAGGACTCCTCAACTGTTTTCCCTAGGCCTCTTTTTCTGTCTAGACAAAAGTAAAACCTGATGGGCGACCCAAAGCCTTCAGTGGGCACTTGGGCAAAGTAAGATAAGGGGAACTGGAACAAAGGACACAGAGATACTATCTAGGGAGGATGATGTCGCTGATTTAGGAAGAAGACACCTGGACTTTACTTCACAGCACATAAACTGAAAAGAGCAGACACCGTGAAGAAGACCACGAGGGTAGAGATGTTCTGTAGAGAGACCTGGACAGGCTGGAGCAATGGGCTGAGGCCAACTGGAGGAGTTTCCATAAGGCCAAATGCCGGGGGCTGCCCTTGGGCCACAACAACCCCCAGCAGCGCTACAGGCTTGGGGAGGAGTGGCTGGAGAGCTGCCAGTCAGAGAGGGACCTGGGGGGGTTGATTGACAGCCGGCTGAACAGGAGCCAGCAGTGTGCCCAGGGGGCCAAGAAGGCCAATGGCATCCTGGCTTGTGTCAGCAATAGCGTGGCCAGCAGGGACAGGGAAGGGATCTGACCCCTGTACTCGGCACTGGTGAGGCCGCCCCTCGATTCCTGTGTTCAGTTTTGGGCCCCTCACTACAAAAAGGACATTGAATGACTCGAGCGTGTCCAGAGAAGGGCAACGGAGCTGGTGCAGGGTCTGGAGCACAGGTCGTACGGGGAGCGGCTGAGGGAACTGGGGGTGTTTAGTCTGGAGAAGAGGAGGCTGAGGGGAGACCTCATCGCCCTCTACAGCTCCCTGAAAGGAGGCTACAGAGAGCTGGGGATGAGTCTCTTTAACCAAGTAACAAGCGATAGGACAAGAGGGAATGGCCTCAAGTTCTGGCAGGGAAGGTTTAGACTGGATATTAGGAAGCATTTCTTTCCAGAAGGGGTTGTTAGGTGCTGGAATGGGCTGCCCAGGGAGGTGGTGGAGTCCCCATCCCTGGAGGTATTCAAGAATCGGGTCGACATAGCGCTGAGGGATGTGGTGTAGTTGGGAACGGTCAGTGGTTGGACTAGATGATCTTCAAGGTCTTCTCCAACCTTGATGATTCTGTGATACTTCTTTGAAGATGCTCACTCTATTTTTACTACAAATGCTCAGACTATGTAAATGAATTCTAGGAACTCATTATCATAAGACGCCCCTTTCCAGGAAATCTAATGAATGTGTATGATTGTGTGTGTGTAAACTGATGTTCCTTGCTAGTTCGTGGGAGCCCTTATGGTGGAGAATCCCCAGGGTGAGCCCAGCGCTGCTAATAAAGAATACCTGCTTAACAGTTATATTGGAATCTGACGAGTTAATGTCTTTGTTTCAATTTTAAAACAGAACCTTATTCAGATAGTAGAGAATGTGCTTAAATATGGCTGTTCTTTAGTATGGAAGTACTATTTAGAATTACAGTTTATTCATTACACACTCTGAAACTCCTGGTGTAAACATATGATCCTTCTCACCTCTGGAGTGTCTGGATGTTTGGTCTCTGGCTTCTGGCGGGAAGAGATTCCTCACCAGGACGGTGCCATGAGGAATGACACGTTGCCTGTACTGGGGAGGGGAAGGAAATTAGTCTTTTGTTTTCCCCTGTGTTAGTATCAGGGTTTTGAAAAAGTGTCTTTTCCATGGCACGTCCATTTCAGGCTCTGCTCTGGCTGATGTTTACTGTACTGTTACAGTTTGAAGAAAAAGTTGCAGTTCAAACTGTCTCTGTCATGGATATGGTGTTAAATTGGTTCCTATACTTTGCCCTAAATTGTGTCTAATTATGTTCACTAAAGTGGTTTCTTTGTTTGCTTTTTAAATGCCTTTTGCCCTAGCCTGCACAAGGGAGATAAGGTGAACTTAGGCATAATTTGAAGTAAAGCCTTTTCATTGACTTCAATGCATTTTGGATTGAGCTCTCTTGAATAAGGAAACTGAACAATTAATAACAAAGCTTATAAGCAATTTATAACACATTATAGCTATGAAAGTTCCTCTAGTCCCCTCTGTCAAGGTCCTTATTCAAAGTGTGTAACATTTCTTCAGTGCTTTCCAGTGACCTATTTGTCTTCTGTGAATTAAATCTGTTTTGTCTTTTCAATAAAACTCTTCAGAGTTTATCTAGTTTGGTACTAAATTATGAGAGCTTTTTCACAGCACTTGCCTTGATGCTGAGACACGTGTTTCTTGTGTTGCTTTCAAGGGGTGGAGGGCAGCAAAAACTCTCGTTGACATTTTAAACAGGGAATAGAATTTCTTCTTGTATGTCTCATGAAGAATGAGCAAATGTGAATAGCAGGAATGTGTCTCTCTGAAACAGTTGAGTATTTCATCAGTGTTTGTAGAGTAAACTGCTTATTCATAGTGTGTAAGAGATGTTGGCAATTAAGGCTTCTTTACTTTTGGTATTTGTGTCCCTTTGGACCTCAGAAGAAAATGTTCCAGATTTTTATTCTTAAAAAGCTTAAAATGAATGCTCATTTGAACGAGAAAATTGTACTTTTCAGTAGTTTGAAAATGTTTTCTGAAACCCCTCTGTTTGTTGTTCTGGGTTTTTTTGGTGTGTGTTTTTTTGTTTTTTGGTTTTTAAATCTAGTTAAAACGGGTAGGTTCCCCAGCAGGTTTTGGTTTTTTTTTTTGTTTTGACAAAGTGCATTAAAACAGAAGTAGTTGTTCCACTGGAGTGTTCAAAATAAAGTTCAATCCAAGGACATACCTTGACCTGTTACATCAAGATTGCAGCTGCTTGTGGTATAGTTGGTTTTAAGTAGAAATAAATGGGTGTTGGTGATGGGAAGGCAGTGATTTTGGCTACAAACTGTTTCAAATAGCTGATTACACACACAAAAAAAGGAAAGTTTAAAAGCAGTCTCGTTAAACAAGATGTTGGTCCTTTCAAGCTCTAATAGTACAATAAACAAAAACGATTTCTATTCCTTCCTGGAAGGAGAAGATAGAAGGAAGATCTTCTATTAATACAGTTCTCTCTAACCATGCAGACAACTTCTGTCTAGAATATTCCTGTATCCCTTGGGAATTTGCTCCATTGATTTAATTGGACCAGTTAATATCCCTAATCTAAATAAGGGACAATTTATCATGGTTTGAAATGGGTTTACTTGGTGCAAATCCAATCATCAGTGTAAGCTATGAATCAGGGTAAGTCTCAGCTGCATACAGGGATTTCTAATGCAGTACTCACTTGGATAATGTCTAGGGGATTGTGCTTTGCTATTTCTGATTCCTGTATTGTTTTGAAGCTTGTAAAATTGATGCCAATGATCCATGGATACATAATCTGATTAGTATAGAAACCATGCAGCAGGCAGTAAAGGAGATGATACTGATTTGGGCTCACCTTTTGCCTCATAAGTTTGACAAGGAGAATTACCGCTTTGCATGCAGTGCAGATTCTGCTTATTGTCCCTCTGTCTGTGTAAATCTGTAATCTGTGCCAGGGCTAACCTGACAGAGGGTTGTCAGTGCTTTGTAAAGCAATGCTGAAATGGGACAGTGACCCAGATCTTTGAATTCTCAATTGTGCTATATTCTATACATAGCTGAACAAAATTCTACTGAGAGTCAGTTTAAAGTACCAGTTTTATTTTTAATTTGAAAATTATTTTACATTTTGCCAGGGGTGATTGAAATGGTAAAATGAGGAGGAAGGTGAGAAAATGTTGCAGCCTGACCTATCTTTTTCAGGGTCAAAATTAAAATTGTTGTTGTTTTTATTTACTCAATTTTAAATAAATCCAAGGGGACCAAATGAGAGAGTCTTATTTTTGTTTTTATTTGTCACTAAATTAGAGAAGAGCTCCTTAATAAATGAATAATATTTCCGATTAGTGAGCACAGTAGCTGATGGAGAAAGGTGTGGGTGTGATTTCTAACAGTAGAGAGATTGAACTCCCATACCTCTTTTGAAAACAAACCACAGCCCAAGTTAAAACTATTCTGCAGTCCTTGCAAAATTAAACAGTGCCTCTGTGAGTGGGACCTTTGTAGAGGTGAGCAGTGCAGCACTTTGTAAGTGGCTGTTACTGCTGCCAGTGCAGGATCTGCTCTTGCTACGTATCCACTAAAGCGGGAAGGGGAGAAGCACTTGTCCTGGTGAACTTCCCTCCCTTGGCATTATTGAGTTTGATTCATATGGGTGTGAAAGGAAGTAAGATCTATTCAGTTTTCTTGATTGCCTCCTTGCATCTCCCTTGAAAGCCTGAGAATAGGTGGAGTAGTGATTTTCCCTTTCCAGTGTGGTAGCCAGTGTTTAAAAACAGGGGAGTTGTTCTTTTTTTGGCTCCTGGTTACTGCACTGCCCAGGTTACAAGGAACAGTTTGCCCCTTTTGTAAACTGAACCCAATTATTTAAAACCCTTTCATTTTCCTTTCTTTGTTCTTTTGTCTCATGCAGTAACAACACCCCTGGTTGTCGTACCACACTGGGCAGTCTTTTGGACACTTGGCAAGGGTCTAGCTAAAGCCTTTTGTGGTAGTAAACCTTCAAAATTTTGCTTTTTTTCCATGGGTATTTTTACTTCAGGTGAAAACTGCTGTTCTTAGCAAGAGCTCCTCCATGTTCTTGTGTTCTATAACAATAGTATTTTAACAGCAGATGTTGCTTACAGGGTATAGAAAACCAGAAAACTTACTTCAACTCCCAACATACCGATAAGTCTGAACTCAGCATCTTTATAGGAGAGAAGAGTTCTTGTTTCTCATTTCTTCATAGGTTTTTATTGTAACCATAACCCAATATTTTAAAAAAAAATAAAAGGCCTAAAAACTTGTCCTGTAGCATTTCTTGATGCATTGAATAATTTCATAGGCTAGAATAAGAAACATCTGATTTCTGATGTACTTACGGTCTTTCTCTTTTGGCCCTTTGCCATCTGCTTGGGTTGCTTGTTTGCTTCCTCCCCAGATCTCCGCCCTCTGTCCAGCCCAGACATGTTCTACAGGAGAGGTGTTTGGGATGAATTCCTGGTGGGGCTGGAAAAATTGTATGAAGAGGAACATTTAGACCCTGATGCCAAGTAGGAGATAAACACCTAATCCCCCTACCCTGCTTATGGCCTCCTTCTTGATTAAGTGTAAATGAGATTAAAAGTTCACTGAGGAAAGGATTTCCTGTTTTTTTAGGGGACCTGATACTTAAGTTTCTTTTTTTTTTTTTCAGTTGAGTTTGCACATACAGCTTTGATGTGGAAATAAATTTAAGCAGCAGCAGATTGTGCATTCCTTTCCTCATATCTAAAGATACGAAATCTGTGAGAGGCTTTGGCTCGGCACCACTTGGGCTGACCTCCATGTGGGTGCTGTCAGGAGCTAGTCTTTCAGAGCCTGGTGGAGTTGGTGGCAGAGGTGACGGACTGCAGACCGCGTGTGTTCAACACCTGGAGCTTAGTGCGGGGAGGGAGGAGCTGAGCTGTGAAGAGGATAGGAGGAGGAAGAGTGAGGCTGGGTGAAACCAGCAGGGAAGGCTGACATGGTAAGGTCCCGTTTTCAATAGGAGAAAGGGAAGCTTTCAGCACTGACACTGCTTCCTATTGAAATCTGCAGCCACTGTAATCAAAAAGGCTGGGTTTTAATACATGGGAAATTCTGGACTCAATAGAACTGCTCTTGAAAAACTGTTAAAAGCAAGCACAGAAAGACCACAGACACCTAAACAATTCACTCAAGTGGCTCTTAAAGCATTGAGACTCTCTGTTTTAATTTAGTTGTAATGAAGGAAAGTTTAAAGGAGTTGCCAATGTTCACCCAGCTAGAGAAAAGCAGATGACTCTTTTTGTTTTCCAGATCTATTTAGATTTGAAGCTGCCCTGGGGAGAAGTGGGCAGTACTGAAATGATGTGTCTTGTGAGTTTTATATAGCTTTGTTGGTTGGCTTAATTCTTTGCTGAAGCTGCTGAACTTGACTCTTTTTTCTCCATTTGGTTATTATTTGTTTTCCAAGAGCATTTCAGCTGACTTCTGATGAACAGGTGAAGACTTTCCCAGGAAGCTTTCTGTGTTTTACAGTCATATTAATGTAATACTGTTTAACCATGCAAATACTTTCATATTAAAAACAGTTTACACCCTGAATTCAGAAGCTGAATCAGGACGGTCCTTTGACCCAGGGCTGACTTACTAGGCTAAGAATATGCTTTGTAAAGATTTGTTGGTGTTTCCCAGCTTGATTTTACATCCTTTGATTTCTTCAACTGTAAGTCTTTTAAGCATCTTTGAACACTTAATAATCCAACTGATGTCAAGATTTTTTTGTATGACATTGGTTTAGTCAAATAAATAGTCCAAACGTATGCTTCAAAATTACATTTTAATTCAAATTGATTTGAGATTTTAATAAAGCATTCTCATATTTTATAATGTAAAAATGGATATATTATTTTCTTTTTTCCATATATGAAAACAAATGTATTCAAAGCATGATATTGAATATATAGTTTATTTTTTTGTCTTTGTATTTCTTCTCACAAGTGCCATGCCACACAACCCAGAAGGATAGCAAGGGCTAGTGTCTGCTTCACTGAGGGCATAATTTTGCTTTTTACAGTAATCTGGAGTACTGTGATGTGAGGGTTGAGAACTCTACATTTTGAAGCTATCAGTTCTACACTGTTACACAGTGCTTCAAATGATCAGGTCTTGTATTAGTATTCGCCTATGTTTATTTTCAGTAAGAGAGAAAGGTTTTTTCAGTGCTGGTACAATATTATGAATGGATCAAATAAGGAGAATGATCTCAAGATTCTGAATGCAACAAATATGTGGCTTCTGAAGTATCTGTGAACTTTCTTCTAAACCAACCCCTCCTTACCCTGTATACAGGTTTGCTTATTAGCTTTAAATAGGGTACTTGGTTTTCTTACTTAGACCGATAATTGGAGATTAGAGCATTTATAGGTTGCTAGTTTAATTACGGTATGGTGTAAAATGTATCAGCAAAGTGTGTTTGTCTATGTGAGCTGAATTTGTTAACTTCAGTTCCTAGTGGGCAGGTGTGCATCTAAGGCAAATTCCAACACCAGTGACATTAACTGTCTCTGCTCAAAACCAGTGAAGTGAATAAAACATGGAAACCAGACTAGCTTTTAAGTTACTGAGAGCTAAGTGATCCCTGCCATTAAGACTGGGAAACATGAATGAGGAACTGTTCATTTCAGCTGTATTCTTGTGCATGAACAACATGCTGTAGTGTTGAAGGCTGGCAAGCCATCATTGTTACATTAAACCAACATGAAATAAAACTCAGAAACCTGAAGTAAATACAGAATCCATAGAGAAGGCTTTCCTGTGCATGATAAGAAAGATGTGGGATGAACTACCGGGCTGTGTGGCTGAAATAGTAGAGGTCAAGAAGTCCTGTACACTTTGGAGAAGGAAGTCAAGGTACGGAGGAACATGGTGGTGAAAGCAGAGAGTAAGAGAAGATGGATTTGAGAGCCAGCTCAGGAGAGCAGGTGTATAGAACAGGGTGCTATTATTTTTGTTCAAGTCTGTGTTTCTAATGCTTTTTCTCTGTGTTTGTTTCTCATTTCAGATTGCCTGTTTGGTGCCTGTTGACCAGTTTCAGTTATACAAGAGGCTGAAGTTTGAACGAGGTGTGAACCTTTTTGTTTCTATTACCTTCCTTTTTAAAGTGTCAGTGGGGGCAGCAGTATTACATACTGCAAAGAAAAAGCCTGTTAGGTGAGTTAAGAAACAAACAGAGAAGATGTCTGTTTTGAAATGGTTTAAGAGCAATCACCAGTTCTGACTGTGTTCCAGAGACAAATTTAACATTATTTCAGTGGAGCAGAATTAAAAGAGTGGTATCTTACTGAAAGTACCACACTTCTACTCAGGCTTGTGGATAGCACTCTCATGTTGCATGCCTGAGGCTCCATCGTTCTTGTAGCATGCTCATCCTGGGTCCTTGAAGTTGTGGTTGCCCTGGTAGAACCAGACAATAGAGGCTGGTGCTGGGTGCACACTGTCTGTTCATAGTGATCTTCACAACTTCTGGGGGAGACAAACCCTGCAGTGTGATGGGGATTTTTGCAAACATCCCTGTAAGAGAGCTTTACTTTTGTAGAAGCTTTATGTAGATTCGTCAAGTATATTTTATTTTTTCCTGAGTGATAATTGGACCCCTCATTACTGAGTAAGGCCTATTAATAAAGAAGTTTGAAACTGAAGGTTTTACTGGGGCCAAGCTTTCCTATGGCAGAGGTCAGCCTTCTGTTTCAGGAGATGGTTCCTTGCCAAGGCTGAGGAAGAAACTTTAGCAAGTCAGAAAGATGAAGTTTTAAAGACTGACACTAACATGAAAATCTCAGCTGGAAGTTGAAGTGTTTTTCAAAAACTCACTCCATGGTAGCTTGCAGGGTAGTGTTTCTGGGACTGATCTGTCTGACTCAGCCTGTTTTCAAACTTTCATTGAAAGACTGTGTTCTTGCTTTGTATGCATGCTCAGATGCCAATGGATTGGGAATGTGTATGAAAATGCAGAGGTTCATAAAAGTTAGGCACAGTAATTCACTTGAAAAGATGGTCAGATAGAAGAATATATGGGTTTTTACAGAATCTCATCTGGCATGAGTCATGCCGAATGACCATGCAGTACAAAAACTGCAAAACAAGTGTACCCAAGTACGCTCCAGAGTTCATGGGCAGATACAGATTGTAGCTATGATTTGCAGACAGGCCAAAAAAGAAAAAAAATCCCAAACTCTGCTTTCACTTTTTATTTCCCCTCTCCTATTTTACTGTCTTTTCTCCTTAACTCCTTAGGAAGTCCCTTCAGTTTGTAAGCCAAGCAGTAGATGTTGTTCAGCCCTAGACAGTGGAAATCAGAGCTTGTTAAATCACTGTATTGAAGGGTTAAGAAAGACAGACATTCTTGCAATACGTTAATCTGTTTTATGTAAAACTTTTTTTGACTGAAGACTGTGAAACTAATGATTTCCTGGTATCTCCTCCTCTATAACTAGCCAAAGCTGAACTCATGATCTTTTCTCCAACTCCCTGTTGCATCTCTCTTTTTTACTGCCTCCCACACACAGAAACCTAAAACTTGCCTATTTTTTAAATACTCCTTTTCTTTCTTGCCTAAGTCTGACAAATCCTCTGTCACTCCATTACCTCTCTTCTTTATGTTTCTAAGATCTGTCCTTTTTCCTTTATGATAAGTAGAACTGTCATCCAAGCAGCAGGCTTAAACATAGCCTTTCTGCCTTGCCTACTGGCTCCAGCAAAAGATTCAGCTTACTGATGCCTGGGAACAACAACTCCTGCTAACTAAAGCTCTGACCTGGACACCAGCACTGATCCCAACCCTAGCTAAGACCTTTTACCTATCACAGATCTAGTGTTTCCCCCAAGGCTGACCTTTTTGGACTCATCAGTTGGACTTGGCTTATTAGCTTTTGCTGACCTAAAGCTCTGTTCTCAGATCTGACCCTAACCTGGCAAAGCCTGCCTGCCCTGACCAATGCCAATGCTGGCCTGACAGTCTTTTTCTGAAACTAGCAATAAACCTTGCTGATGGCAGCTGCTGGGGCAGAATTCTGATTCAGAATTTGCCCAGGGACTCCTGGCAGCTGAGAGCTCTTGTGTACCTTGTGTCTGTGTCAGCCTTAGTGCAACTCAGTGCTTTTCAAACCTAGAGCTGTGGAAAATCCAGGCTGCTACTGCCTAACTCTGCCCTCTCCTCCCTTAAAATAGGCAGGTACTAGGGTGTCCTTCATGACTTTTTATCTTCTCAACAAAGCCCTTTATTCAAACCCTTCAGTTCCTATATTTAGACCATTCTTTTCTCAGCTTTAGTCTGTTGAGATCTTTGCTTCAGCACCTCATTTGTTTTACTAGTAGTGCTAAAAATAAATAACCAGCTTCTTGGGTCTTGCTCTGCTCTGTAGTCTTTGCTTATCAGTCTTCAAGTTATTGGTAAAGCCAATGCTTCTCACCCTTCTAGACATTTTCCATCATGAGATGAATTTTGAGGAAAATTTTGAAGACCTGAGTGAGGTCTTGTACATCAAAAAGCTGTTTTCCTCATCCCCCATCTGTGCTAGCTATTTTAATAAAATAAATTTCCTTGGTTTTTAAAAAAATGGGTAAATAATACTGAGTGAAAAAGCAGGGAGAAGTAATTGGCATACAATTGTATATCTGTAGACACTTGCTTAGTTTAATAAGAAATGCACTCAAAATATTGTATTCTCTTGTGGGTTTGTGCAACTAGAATGCAGATGTTTTCAGACTTAAAAACAAGCTTTCTTACATATTTGTAACTTCTCTTCATCCATTCAGGACCTAGCCACAGAGCTTCCGTGTGGTATATTTTAATAGAAGAAACAGGAATTGCTCTATGCCTGTTTAGGATGAGGTTGATGTGGTCATCAGAAGTAACGAAACAGAGGAAAATATGTGGTTAGGACACATGCATTATATTTCTATTTCTGTGACAATTGCCCAATAAGACAGAGTGGTAGATGATAACCCCCATTTAATGCCTGACTGAAAAGTAGTCCATTTCAAAAAGAGGTGTTCCTAACATTCTGCGAAAGACCGAGGCTCATCCTTTCAGTGGGTACCTTTCCTGAGCCAGAAAATCTCCTTTCTTCAGGGTGCTGCATTTCCCCTGTCTGTCTCCCACATCTCACCTGCTTGATCGTGTGTTTTGTGAAAACTGGCCAGATCCCTGCCCGATGCTGACACTGTTTGGGAAAGCTTTCCTCCTGAGAGTGGAACAAGTGTGGCTAAACTGTCTGTGGGGAAGCAGGAGAAAGGCTTGGGAGAGAAATGGCCCTAACCAAAAGATGGAGCAGCTAGTCAGAGCAATATGATAGCCTCTTTTTTTTTTGGCTGCTCCTTTTTTTTTCTGGTTTCGCTTGAACTCCATGGTAAACCAAACAGTATGAGGTAGCATGGATTGCAAAATGCCATCTGTAGGTTCATTGTAAAATGGAGGAAGTGGGAGAGAACAGAGTTTCATCTCATGCATTACATCTTGCTGCAACAAATTTGTGAAAATCAGTAAGATTTTTAACCCAATTTGCCTCCTTCTGATGATGTCAGAACCAGACATCCTGTCTTTCATCCAAAACCAGGATAAGAGAATATAGGTTCCCAAAGTTCAGTATGTTAAACAGCTATCTGCAGGAACTGCACTTTATCTCATTTTAACTGCTGTTTATCAGCAGAAAGAATATAGAACCTACTGTATGAAGACTTAAATGCAATAGCCAGTACTAGGCCATGGTCTTACCCAGTTCAGAGTATCTTTTAAGAGACACTAAGTGTAGCTACAGAAACAATGATTTCTCAGTCAGAACATTACTTTTTAAATGTATGTAAAAATGTAAAATGGCTTGTACTGCCCATCCATGTCTCTCTTCTCCCCACAAATGAAGCTGCAAACTATTTTGTTCTGGCTTTCAGTAGGAAGCAAAATGCTTGGTTGTTTTGGGGGGCAAAGGAAGCACGTGTAAGAGAATAAGACGAAAGAATGCAACTAGATTCATGAAGTGGCTGGAGGTGGATGGTACCAGTGTTTTGGTGGCACTGCCTAAGTTACAAATGACAGCCTTTGCCATGGATGTAGAAATTCTCCACATTTGTCAGAGCACTCTGAGACAGACTTAAAAATTACCTGATGTCCAAATATTGTGTACCTGTGTGTCCTGCAGCCAGCAGAGAGGATGATCATCCTTACATAGATCCTCACTGTAAGTGTCCTGGAGAAAGAGGAAGGAGGGATGGCTTTAAACAAACTGGAAGTTTTCAAGGTGAACAGAGAGGATTATCATACTGGAAAAGAACTGAATTTCTAGTGCACATTAGGTGATGGGGTTTGTGGGGTGTCCTTCTCCCCAGGTGTTCAGCATGTGTATCTAAATGCTTGAGAGCTTGGAGGAGAGTTTTACTACTTTGATTACATTTCTAATTGTGCAGTTTCTAGTTTCTGGGTATCTGGACACTGAACTGATATCACTGTTTTTCATCCTGACTGGAGCAACTGCTGGATATCCATCCACTAGCCCCCTTCACTGTGGGCTATCAGCACCCTCCTGCAGAGGAGCAGTGCAGGCAGGGGCATGTGCATAGAAGGAAGTGCCTTCAACTATTTCAGCAAAATTTGTCAGAGAACATATGTCTGGGGCCCTTGTGCATCCTTTTGCTTCAAGTGGGACAGTATTTTACCTGCTGGAGGTACAGAAGATCATTGTAATGGCTTTTGACATCTCACAGTAAGGGATTTCCACCTGTTCCTGAGACATCCCCTCCATCTATTTCTTTTCAGTGGTGGTACCAGAGAGCTCGCAGGAAAGGAGGAGAGGCAGATAGCTCCTGCAGGCACAACAGCCTTTTTCTAAGGAGGCTCTGCAGGGTGGGAGTGTTTGGCTGCACTTCATGGACTTGAGCCAGTAGAAAGTGCACACACAATGGGCATTCCTAACAGTGAACGTGTTTTCAGCTGGGTTTCTGTTGCAAGCCCAAATTCCTTGAACAAAGGTTGGCATGTGAGACGAAGAATCAACATTTAACATTCTCTGCGATGCAGTGATGTCTGTAACTCAATGTCTTCACCCTGAATCTTGCCTTGACTATTGCTGGAAGCTGATACCTGAATATTAATCAGTGTTTATAGATAGAGGGGATTAAATAAGGCATGGAAAGTAACTTGACGTTAATTTAATGAGTCCTTTTGCTATTTATGTGAAAGACTGCATGCATTGCACATATGAAAGACATGAAATGTCACAAATGTCTAATGTCACAAAATACATGCTTCTCAGCAAGCAGCACTTACGTTCATCTTTTGTATCTCCCTCTAACGGCTAAGAATATGTCCAGTATTGCCATATGTGTGATGCTTCCAGTGTAACTGCCTTAGCAGAACACAACTGCAGACCTGCCTAAAGAGGAGAAGTAGGCCTGGATGCCCATGGGCATGGACACAGAGGGCCTCAACTTTCCCACCCGCACACAGAATTGGGTCTTGTGTACCTAGAGCCGTGTTGCTGGAATGAGAAGGGGACTGTATAAACAGTTTTATTTCTCTCTCTGTTGCATTTCAGAAGTCCACTTGGACCCCCAGAGAACATGGTGCCCTGCAGTTGACTGCCAAGCAGTGTGCCATATTACACCGAGTGAGTCCGGAGCTCCGGTGCCAGTGGAGTGCCCGGCTTGCTGCCAGACATTCTGCTCCTCTTGCAAGGAGGCATGGCACCTGAAGCACCTATGCCAGGAAAACCAAACTGCTCCAGTACCAACTGAGCAGGGGTAAGAGGGGAATCCATGGAGGCAACATGGTCTTTCATTTCCTTTTGGCACAGGGTGCTAGCTCTGTGCATCATATTAGTTTAATGGAACAGCTTCCTTCTAACATCTTAGGTGCATCTCTAAGACTTTCCATCTCTTCTAGTGTTTCCTAAATATGATTCCAATCTAAATACTAGTTTAAATCATATATTTTATTCTTTAATACTTAATATTAGTTGGGTACTTATCAAACTTGTGATGCCACTGACACTTCCAAAAGGTGAAGTCCTCCAGGGCTTTGAATCTGCCTAAAGGCTTTGTTTGCCTGCTAGAATTAAGTCTTGAGCCTGTACAAAAGATCCAATGCACTAATATTCCGGGATACAAACCTTGCTTATACTGTGATTAAGAAATCACCCCTGCTTAATACTTAGAGAATCTCTGCATAGCCGAATGCTGAATCTTAACTCTTAAACAGAGTGGGTGTAAAATGTCCCATTTGATGTGAGAAATCTGATTTGTGCTAGTTTTTGCATAGGTGTAAACAACCTACAGATAAGGTTACATAAGGCATTAATCTACAGAAAGAAAGCACTTTTTGTTTTTAAATTATGTAGTATCTGTGGCCATCCATATTTGTTTTCAGAATCAGATTAAGTTCAGTCATGTGTGTTCAGAGTTCTCTATCATTTTTGCAAGAAATTAAAATCTGAGCATTCTGCTTACTAGAGGATTCATCAAAGAGGAGTTGCCAAAGAGCTCTCGCCATAATTTTTCTTTTCCAGGTTTGATCTTTGGCTATAGTGGTGTTTAAGGCTATTTTGCTCAGGCAGCAACAGTGCTATAAATTGCATAATCTAGTCCTATTAAATGAATGGTACAAGCTGTTTTAAAAAGTGCTGATTTTTAATGCTATAGGTGATACATTTGTGGGTATAGTGAGTGTCGATTTTATATAGCTTAAAAGACCAAGAGTTTTACTTTTACATGATCTTACACCTAGTACTGAGTATGCTTCAGTGTATTGTACTGAATATAACAAGCTTCACACATTACGTGCATTAAGACAACAACATTAGATGCTCTTTAAAATAAGCACAGTACACATTAGGCAGTGGAGCTGAATATCAACAGTAATTACATTCACATTTCACTTTAATATTTCCCTTCTCTTCTAGGTTACTTATTGGAACGGAGACAGACGCACCAATTAAGCAGTGCCCAGTCTGTCGCATCTATATTGAACGAAACGAGGGCTGTGCTCAGATGATGTGCAAGAACTGCAAGCACACATTTTGCTGGTACTGTCTACAAAACTTGGATGTAAGTGCTGCAGAAAAAAGAGCTAGATAAAGGGTAATGGGGTTGGGGTTAGTCTGAGGCCCTGTGAAAGCTCTCCACCAACTTGTTGAGATCCTAGTGTATTCAATTCAGCTTGTAACTTCATGTCTTTCTTCTCATTCATCCAATGCTTTCATTTATATCAACATTATTTTTTCTATAAAGGATTTTAGCTGTGTCTATGGGTCCCATACTAGTTCTTGGAGGGAAATGGGACAGAATGGTTTCTTTCTGGAGGTCTAGCACTACCTTTCTCTGATTACCTCTTACAGTGCAGTAAAATAGTTTTGTTGAGAGCCAGGAAATGTCTTTGACCTGCTCCAACTGCAAGGGTCACAGCCTGTCCAAAAAATGCTGTGGTGCCGGATGAAGGGGGTTATTTCACAGATGTGTGCATCTAAAGCTCATATGAACTGGGGTCTCCTTTACTAGTGCACCTCTAGTGCCACGTCTGCTGAAGAGAATGATTGATTAGAAGGCTTGAGGATAAAAATGTTTGATTATGAACATGGATTATGAAGTGCAGGTTGCTAGTTATTTCTCAATTGATACCAACCAGTCTCAACTCGTATAGACTTCAAGCTTCCCAGCAGGATTAAGAGTACAGGAAGTAATGTGCTCATGTATGTGACAGCTTCACTTTTTGATACAGTCACCAGTAACAACTGTGGGAGTGTGAAAGGACTTTACCAGCACTTGAAATAAAATGTTAGATGCTGCATGGCTTTTCTTCTTTTTTTGTATTCCACAGCCAGCAAACCATGAGACTTCCTCATTCTTCATTCTTCCTTTTCTCAGCGTGCTAAACAGGTTTCGCTTAGCATCATGTCCCATTTATGTGTGTGTGAGCGTGCTTTTTCAACAGGAGTCTTACAGCTTGCCTCAGAGTGCGTACAGTACACAATGATTGCTTAACACCATGCTGAACTGGAGGACTCTCAGATTCTCACAGACTCTGCAGACATGCCCTTACCAAGTTTTTGTCAGTTCGAAGAGGAAAGAAAAAAATAAACTGTAGTTGTGTGATTCAAATGTACTTTTTTAAAATGTGCAGTATTACAGGAGCTTCAGGTGTAGATGAAGGTAATACCTGAAGAGCCAAAGAGTATGGCTGAAAAATGAAATGAAGCAGCGTCAGCTGGCTAAGGGAGTGTGATGCAGTTCAGTAGTAACTTCATGAAGAAAAATTGGATAACTTAATAAGTATTAATGGGAAAAGAGAAAGGAAACAGGGATTTCCTACTTTGTAAATTTTCCTGTTAAGCCTAGGAAGAAAATTACTGTAAAGTCTAGCGACAGCAGGAGAACAGAATATATCTCAGGAAGATGATCCCCCAGTTTTCTAGCTTTCAGAAAGATCTGTTGTTTACAGACCCCTTTATCATCACCAAATTACAAACTAGGTATCTGTGCAATAGGTGCAACACTTATGCTTACGCTTTTTAAAAGTGGGGGAGGAAAGATGCTATACAATAGTTCAGGTCCCAAACACATCACACCTTCTGAAACTGCAAGAAGTTTCTCTAGATAATTATTTGGAAGACAGGTGAACTTGTCTCCTGGGAGCTGGTAATTTTAAAGCAGTGTCAGGAAAGTTGTATTTCCAGTCCAGTCTTGAACCTCTCCCCGCAGTACTGTAGCCTGCTCTTACAGCATCTCCTTCTGTTTTTTCAGAATGATATCTTCTTAAGACATTACGACAGAGGCCCTTGCAGAAACAAGTTGGGCCACTCGCGTGCTTCGGTGATGTGGAACAGAACACAGGTGCGTTCCTAGTCTGCTGAGCAGAGCTCTCATGCATGCATGAAGCAAAGAGATTTTGCCCTTTGGTGAAGGATCAGGGTGATTATTTTTGTATTTTCATCTGTTTTTTGTGACCTGTGTTGTGCTTATGCATGCATGCAAGTATTTTATTTTCCACATTAGCTAAATACATATTTTTCCCCACCATGTCTTTCAGGTTGTGGGGATCCTCGTTGGACTAGGTATCATAGCATTGGTGACTTCTCCCTTGCTGCTTGTGGCATCTCCATGCATCATCTGCTGCATTTGCAAATCTTGCAGAAGTAAAAAGAAAAAACACAGCCCGCCAACAACCTAAAACTCTGTGTCTGAGCCTCCATTTGTACAGCATATGTATGTGAGAAAGCACAATGGTTGCATTTGGTGCCATACCTACCAAATAGTACTCCCTTTTTTGCCAATTCTTGGGATAAGTGCCTATTCTTTACAGGCTACTCTATCACTAACAAGTCCCAGTGTGGGAAAAGTCTAGATAATTGTGCAGTACATATGTATAAGTTTTATAAAAGGAAAATGGGACACCGTTCAGCTTAAATATGAGCTGTCTTTTGAGACTGCTAGAACTTCATCATCTTCTGTCAGCTGCACATGACTTGATCCTGCAGTATTATTCTGCATTTGCAGACCCAGTCCTTAACTGTCATGCTTTCTATTGGCTCTTGGTGACACACAGATTTCTCAGAAAGTTTTCGTATTTTATAAAAGGGGGAGAGGGAAAAGCCTGAAGAAGCTCTTCTGCCTGCTAGCTTGTGTCCCCTTAAAGGTAACAAACTGTTAAGAAAACATATTTGACAGTTTCCTGTCAGCTGGCTGCCATGGCATTTCTTTCAGCATTGAAATCAATTTAACTAACTTATACTATTGGTCTCAATTACAGAGGTAAAACCCAACAAAACTATTTCTAAGGTAGGGCTCTCTTCTGAGAGACTGGACTACCTTGAGAAAGCTGTTGTTTTTTCAGCTCAAACATGACGTCTACCTTGAAATATTAGAAGTATGTGTATTTCCCCGTCATTGGGCATGGCTTTTGTCAGTAACATGGGTGTAGTAAACTTACCATGACACTAATACTAAGAAAGGCCATGATACAGCTCCTGTTTTATGTGCAGTTTTCAAATATTGGTTGTGCATATATAGAGTGGCCACATGTGCATGAATATACCGAGGACATAATGCACAGTTTATTTTCCAGTCAGTCAGTATATTTTTTCAACAGTTTACATGGGGTGGCATTAAGAACCCTGTTAAAAACTGATTCAGGCCAAACTAAGCCAAACTCTCCTTTAAACCTTATGGACCTGCTGAAGTGAATACTTGGGAAATGCTGTGTAAATGTAAGATCTGTCCATTGGTGGGTATTTCTTCTGTCCGACTCGAGGTTAACAACTTCTGTGACTGATAATTTTTAGTTACTTTAAATCTGAAAGGCTGTCATTTAATGAACCCTTCATTTTAATTTGATGCCTCACTACCAAACTGATTCAGACCCTGGTATCAATTACACCTGTTCACTGAAGAGCTGGAGTTACTCCAGGCTCTGCTTCCTGGAGTTTATTTCCTTAATGGCTGGTACTTCTCACAACCCTGGCCGGTGGTAGCTTTTGTTTTGGACTCCTATCTTTGGATTTTATATCTGTGAGAACTAATATGAGTTTGCACTATATAATCTGTTGTAATTCCAAACCCCTTTCGATAAGAGATGCTCAGCCCGAGCATCATCTTGGGCTCACCCTCCACCGATCTGCCCTCCTCCACACACACAGCATGAGGCACCCGAAGAGTGCTGCGAGGAGTGTCTTTGCTGTTGTGTTTGGCCGAGCCTCAGGAACTTTGCCTTATTGGCAGCTGTAAATGTGACCTTTTTTGTTTAACTTCGCTCTCTGGTTACTGTAACAGAAGTGATAGATGTTCTTACTTTAAGAAAGTATAGTCTGTTGAGCAGACTAGCAGGGAAAAAGGCCTTAAATGATATTGTCTGTTTTACTTTTTAATTGATTTCTTTTATAAATACTGTCTGACTTTGCTACCAGTCATGACTGGAGGGCAGGTGGTGCTCGCCAGTGTGAAAGGCTAAATTTATTTTCATCCACAGCTGCAAAGGGAAGCAGAAAGGTAGTCAGTACATTCTAAATACAGAGTGCAATGCAGGTAACTGCCATTTGTAATAAACAGAGAATGTTTTCTGTATGTATTTTCTTTAAGAGCGGTAATGATAGTGCTTGGGGGTACTTGCAACAGATTAAAGCATCCAGCCCTTGGCTTTGCACTATTTTTATACCTACATTTTTATGGCACTACTGTCCTTGCCATTTTATTTATGAACTTGCAGTTGGAAGTCTTTAGTGAAGCCTCGAGGACAAAGATACGGGAGCTGTACAGTCTCTTTAACCATAACCAGCATTGCAATGTACCAATATCCTTTGCATGTTAAAATTTGTAGGTTTTTCATATCTTGTGGTTTTACCTATGTCCAATGCACTCTCTGCTAGCCTGGTTTATTTCCTTGTCCTCTTCCTCTTTCCCTTATCCTTTTTTTGCTAAAATGCCTAAGGGAATGAAGGTGTCTCTCATGTTTTTTTCGTTAATACTGCTGTGTTAATGAAACTGCCAAGTTCTTCCCTCTGTTAAAGAAATACAGCTGAAGGCAGTTGTCTTGTCCAGAATACACTAACGGACACAAGGTCACCATTTGTATTGTAATACAAATTCGACCCTTTTCAGTTCCTTAAATGATTTCTTAAAGTTAATGCAGATCTCTCCAAAGAGTGGGAATTTGTTTAAATTATAAAATTTTATAAAAGCATTGCATACGTGCATAGCTGTAAATCTTGGGAGAACGACACTATTCAGTTTATTTTTAACTCCTCAGTTTGAGTGCAGGGTAAGTCATTCCAGAGACTAATTCCTACAGAGCAGAAGGACGGTGTGTCTTTTCCATGTGCACATTTTATTGCTGGTGCCAGTTTAGGTGCCAGGTGGGGGTACCAAAAGTGGTAGAAACTTAGTGTGCAGGTTTTAGGACAACCTGAAAACCAGGACGCCCGTCCAGGCATCTAAGGAACTTGTATGCAGATCGGTAGCATTGGACCAGGTTTCCGTTGGGGGTCTTTACGTAAAAGCTGGATAAGGAGAGCATGAGCTACAGGCACACCTTCCTTTGCCATATAGATACAATAGATTGACCAAGACAGAAGCTCGAGTAATATGTTAGAACTCAAAATAGAAGTCTTATGAAGATTATTTTCTTTTAAAGGCTGTGTCCTGGCTTTTCATTGCATGGGAATACTTGAGCATGTGCATTAAGTAGACTCTGACCTGGCCAGCTTATGCGGCCATGCTAACTCTGCCAAGTAGAGTTGTACTTGTGCTGCAGTGCTGAGAGCAGTAAGGCCCTGTTGTTTTCCATAAAGCAGCTATTTTGCACCAAATGGTCACGCTCACAGAGTTTCCAGAGAACCATTTTAGCGAGAACCTTTATATGGTGTTGGGATTTGGTTTTGTTTTGTGGGTTTTTTTTAAGCTTTATAAGAAAAATTAAAGGAACTTTATGAAAGATTTATTGGAAGCATGACAAATAATACAGAAATTAGGGAGAAAGAAACAAAACTGGGACCCTGATTACTCGTGACTCTTCTAAATCAGTGTAGACATAAATCTACCCTCTAGAACTCCATCTGTGTGATGTTCATGTTAGTACCAGGCTTCACTGCTTTTACCATCTCTCTCCTTTCCCCTGTGGCAGGTGGCTGGTGTGCAGGTAGCAGCCAGGGGATAGCTCAGAGCTGTGGCAGGGCAGGGTGCTGCTCAGGAGCTGGGGTCTATTAACACACTGCCCACCCTGGCTCCATCACCAATTTTCCCTGGGGCCTTTAACCACTGAGAGAGACTTTGGGGATTTTAGGCCGGTTACATTACCTGAGTCCACAAATGTCTGTCTCCCTTGGAGAACAAAAGTGACAACTACAGTATTCCCTCTGAACCAGGGGCATTCAGCCCTTCTGAAAACTGGGCTCTAGATATTTAAAGGTCAGATTGTAAAACTAGAGACCAGTGCTGGAAATCTGGATTTTTACGGCAGTTGGCTAGACATCTCCGTGGTCACATATCTCATTGTAATTTCCCAGCAGTTGCTGGAGCTGTGTCAAATACAGCTGAGGATCCAACTTGGCATCTTATGTCCTTGTGTTAAAATGAGGATGATAATACCTGTTTCCAGAACCACCTGTTAATAAAAAGAAAATATTTGTCATGCTGTAGCATAAGTACTACCCCGCAGTATTTATTCTAGAACTATAGGAAATGGTCAATGCTGCCTTTCAGTAATTCATGATTTATTAATCGTGCATGGTGTTACTTACCCCAAACAAGGGCATGAGGGGAACGGTAATTAATGTTTTTACGGTGCTTTAATGTTGCTAAATGCTACTTACTGTTGTCTGTCCAGTACATAGCATGAAGTCCAAAGTTAAGTTTAAAATGTACGTAAGTTTTACTTGAATGAACTATGAGAAAATGAATATTGCCTTCATATTTGCTTGAAAATACACAAGTGGAGAGATATCAACTGCATTTCCACAATGGGACAACAAAATCAAGTTTTGGCTGCTTTGTTCTCTGGTATCACAGTGAGTGGTTGTGTTGTAGTGCGCCTGCCGCTTTAAAACTTTGAAATCTATTTTGCACTGTAATCTCTTTCTTGCAGCCACTCTCATCTTTCTCAAAAAAGTTCCTTTTAAGATCGTATTTTTCATCCTCTATCTCAGGTTAGAGAATCTTAGTAGATTTCTTTGTATGAGGATAAAAACCTTCCACACAGGTTTTAATAAGAAATTTGATGTTGAGATAAATGACCAAAGATAGAAATTGCAAACTTGGCTTGTTTAGAAAAACTCATTCAGACTGAAGAAGTTGTCCTAGGAGACCTATATAAGGATTACTTTGTTAGAACTCATACGTAAAGGAGCCCTACAGCTTTTGAGCTTCACAGGAGAGATGCTTCTGTCGTTGAGCAGGCTTTTTTGGAAATGTGCTGGGAAAAAATATATATATATATTTTTATTATATAAATAAAAAAAAGCTTCTCTTGTATGGCTTAATATTTTAGGGATTCAAACCCCCTGGAGGCTTTCTAAGGTATACAGTAATATAATTTAAAAAATATAATAAAACAGTTGAGCAGAGTTGTAAGTTGAACAGTTGTAAGACATCTCTCACACAAGTGTGTAGGATCAGACCCTAATTAATGTGGTGGGCAATAAAGATATGAAAATTTACCTCTTCTGGAATAGTGAGAGTTGATTCTTTGTGGTCTGCTGGAAGGTGAACTTAACTGTTAAGATTCTAGAAAACTTCAGTCTAATTTTTATTTGTCCTCTAGTTAGTAAAATAATGAAGTGAGAGCTCAGTGGTTTTGCTGAAGAGGAAATCCAAAGGTCTGTTTTGTATCACTACACTCAAGTTACTCAGAACCAATGTGTTTTTGTAATTTATAATTCTAATTTATAAAATTAATATATAATTTATAATTTGTAATTATAAAATATTAATTTAGAGTTGGCATTGCCTTTTATCATATTATAGATTTATTTTAGTTGCATTCATACTGGAAACCTTTCCTCCTCTGTTTCTTGTGGAGAAGGTTATGGTGTTCCTGGCAAGCTAAATTCCTATGATTTGGTCCAGTCTACAGTAAATGTTTACGGCTATTTTTTAGTTGTATCAGAGGTTTTGTTATGATCACTCAAGTTAGTTCTTGGAATCAAGCAAATTTCAATTGTTAGGAGTGGTAGTTTCCTGGCAGTGAATTTTATTGACCCTCACAGTTTGGGCTATATGAGATGATACTGGTTGACAAGGTTCACCAGCTTTTTAGAGGACACAACCTCGTTCTTTCCCCTTCTGCCCAAGAGGCTTTCTCTTTGGATGAAAATTAAGGACTTCAGTCATTTACTTGTGCCTTCTGGATGTCCAAACAGAAGCAGCAGCTTCTGGTGGCCATGTGCTGGGAGATCCCAGTCAGGTTGAATGTGCAATGCTGTAGTACTGCATGCAACGAGTTGCTTAAATTTCAGGAAGGTGCCTGAGCTTTACAGCTTGCTGGGGCCCATACAGCGTGTGGTGCATGAGGGACTCATCCAGGCAGCTTCATGAGTGCCGGCAGCTGTACAGCATGTGTAGTGCTGGGCCGGTGCTGCACCGCAGCCATGATGCTGGGCTGTCTTGCCACGCGCATGTATATCCCTGAGTTTCATCAAGGTCCCTTTCTCTAGCTGGCACTTTCCAAAACTATTTGCCCACCCCCAAAACTCCCTAAATTCCACAGCTAATCTCTATTCCTTTCGTTTTCCTGTCTGTGCGACAGGCCAGTTTCAGCTTCAAAGAAACCTCAGTTCATATGAGTTACTTGGAGCAAGTCTTGTGAATGAAGAGCAGAACTGTTACGTACCATGCTGATGTTAGCATCACAGGGTCAAGGTGATGGGTCAAGGGTCACCTTGTGAGAACTCTTTAGCTGTCACAGCATTGGTTATTTCTGAAAAAAAGTATGTATTTTAAATATGTGTGATTCAAAGTGTCTGAGTCTGACACTGAGGTGTGTTTTTGAGCGGTGGTGTGGACCAGCAACAGTCGTGGACCCCTGTCCTGCCCCATCTGAGGCAGGTGCTTGGCTCTGCACGTTGCAGATGGAGGCATTGCTTTAGCCAGGCTATTTGCAGTGCTCCCATCTCTTCTCAGTTTGTCTTCCAGCTGAACTGATGCTGCTTTTGGATAAATTTGTTTGTAGTAAAGCTGTGGCTTGAGAGGAGCAGGAGAGAGGGCACTTGCTTGCCATGTGGGGTGAGTGGCACAGCAAAGAGCAGCTTTGTCTCAGCAGGAGTCATGCTCCGCTCCACAGGGCCAGCCCTTTCTTCTTTGGGGGGCTCGTCTCCTGTGCTGCAGCGCACAGGGGTGAATTCCTCCTCCGTCTACATGTTGTTTCCCTGGTACCAGTCTAGGCTTACATTTTGTTTATCTGGGTTTTTTTTTCTTTTCCTCCAGGTAATATGCTTCACCACTTTTCTCCCGGTGAAGGGCAAAAGGGTTTGATCTTTGTAAGATTTGTTAAAATATTTTTGTGTTTATAAGAGGAAAGCTGACATGTATAAAGAAATAAACGCTTTTGTAAATTTTTTGTTGTATGATTCAGCATTTAAACATTTTACAGATGCAATTTTTTGCACTCTCTCTGCATATATTCATAAAAATATATTTATTTTCTGTCTTTAATGTTTACTTTGGGATTTTTTTCTTTTGATGTTATAAAATGCAGTATGTGCAACATTAAAAAATTAGCGTAAAGACTTTGTCTCATTTTGTTGTAATTCTTAACTGCCTTTAAAAGGATGAACATAGAAAATGTATGGGAAGAATTTGAACACGTCTGGGGTGCTTAATGGGAATTTTGAGGACAAAAGAGAATTGAAGAGGTGGGATCAGAATCTTGACTCTCATTTACTTTCTCAAAAAAAAAAAAAAAAAAAAAGACTTTAAAATCCTTTTATGGAGGGTGTGGCAGGTTCTTGGTTAGCTCCTGAGTGCTGCTGCAGTGGCAGTGGTTGCTCTCTTGGTGGGGTGGAGGGTTACCATGCATCTGCTCCCTTGCAGGGTCTAGTGGAGACCCTAAGTGTACCACAAGCAACCTGGAGGAGCTAGAGCTACCCCAGGCTGCAGGTGAGGGATGTGTGGGAGGCTGCACGTAGAACAGTCTGCCGTTTCGGAGCCCCCTGTCTCTTCCCTTGCACCTGTCCTTGCAGCAGTATTGGGCCTCCTGCTCTGGGTTTCTGAAGGACATGATTAAACACTACACCCTGCCATATAATTTCAGATATACATAGTTTTCTCACACACTACATCCTGCAGTGCTTATGAGAGACAATCACAGCTGTGTTTTTCATCATCATATTAAAGTGATGTTTACTGTTAAGTATTTCCAACTTAGCTACAATTACTCAGCATCCAAAGGTAGGATTTTCTACCTGTGTGACACATCCTTGAAAACCCAGCATGCCATCTGCGGGGCTTTTCACCTCAATAGATTATCTGAAAGGTCTTGAGAGTTTTGCCTCTGAGGATGCATTTTTGAGATGAGAGTTGAAAATGTCACCATTGAAACCTGCAGCTCATGTACATTTTATTCCCCCCACCAGTTTGCTCAGAGTAAATTCAGTACTGATGTTATTCTATTTATGTAATTTTATTTATTCTTTTATTTTTCAGTGAGGGTCTGGTCTTGTTCTGTGAATGTGCAGCAAAGCTGTGACAATGTATCAGTCCACAGTAACGTAGGAGATGTATTGCAGCAGACCGAAGGTTTCCAGCACTGCACTTTTCCTTCAGAGGTTCTTGCTGATTACTGAGGAACCAGCTTTGTGGTGGAAATGTGTCAGTTCTCTCAAGCTCATGATGGACACCAGCTGCTGGCAGCCAACAAGCCTGGTGCCCTGCCAGCCTACCAGCTGCCAGTGGTGGGCAAACTGCCTGGCTCCCCACCTGGTAGATGAGTGAACTGCCAGCTCCTCACCTGGCAACTCCAAAGAAAAAACCCAGCAAAGCTTTTCCAAGAAAAATTTGACATTTGTGAATTCCTCTCCAGTTTTAAAAATTCCAGATCAGATGAGTCTGAGCAATTTTCAGCAGAGCGGGCAGTCCAGAGGCCCCATGACTCCTGTGTTATTACATCTTCTTCCACACACGCTTGTTCTCCAGCAGAAGTAGGAACTAATTACCACATTCAGTTCACTCCTTTAACAAGTGTGGAGAACTGGCACTGGCCACTATTCCTGCCAACCCAAACATCTTCTGACCATTTCAGAAAAAAAAAAAAAAAAGTCAATGGCTTCAAATTGGATTTGATCCCAGCTTCAACATGCAATTTTCCCTCCAGTTCCTGTACTTGTCATGAAGACTAGTTTTCTTCAACAGCCTTTTTATTTCAGGGTTATTTGTAGCCAAAATCCCTGAATTTTAAACTCATGGTTTTTGAGATTACAAAAGACAACACTTACCTTCTTAACCAGTGTGTGTATAACAGCCATCCACCCACGCTCCCTTCTGCATGGGGGTGAGTGTTGCCTTAAACACTACCCTCTGCCTGATCACCCTTGTGATCAGGCTTGTAAACACACCCACATCACCCTTATGAAACACCTCCTCTGGTCTCCCAGCAAGGAGGTCAGTATTTTTGCTCTGAGGTGACCCCCGGGTGATGCTGCCCACGCTATCATCATTCTGTCACACTTCTCTGCGGGGCCTGTGACTCCTCCAGGGGACATTTCCTCTTCTGTAGGCATCAACAGCCTCTGAGGATTGCCTTTGCAAGTACATTTTTCAGTTGCCTTTGAGCCTGTTGCCTGTATGGCAGCTCCTTTCTCTTTCAAGCTCTATAACTCCCAATCTGAAAAATTTTAGGTTTTGGAAACCAGAAATCACTGAAAATTACAACAAAAAGCCTTGTCTTTCTACAGAGCTTTTCAGGGATATTCCAGAATTTTAAAAAAACCCAAACCAACCAACTCTAAAACAAAACCACCCACAAAATCATACTTTTCAGAGCAAATAAGTTCCATTTGGTACCATTAGTTACTTCTTGCATGGGACCTCTCAGTCTGAGCTTCTCAGCCCAGAGCCTGGCTTGTCAACAACTATGCAGTGAGCAACATCTCCAGCCACTGCCATGCTGAGCCTCACACATATGCAACAGGCACACTCAAGGCTGCAAATCTGTATTGTGATATTCAACATAAAAAATAAGTCCTTTCTTGTCATTCCTTTCCCTAACCTGAGTTAAGGCTATCAAGCAGTGCACCTAGCAATATGTGCCCTTTAAAATTCAGCAGGGATGCTGGAATATTGAGAGTAACAGCCCAGTGTCCACACCTGCCCAAAGATGTGCCCAAGTTTTACCCAAAAAGGGAAAGCTGCAGGATCTCTAATTTTTCAAACTGAGGCTTCAGAAAGTTTCCATAGAGGGGTTAGAGTAAAGCCTCTGAGCAAGTGACCACTTGGTCTTTTTCCTTAGTATTACCATGTAGCAAGGAAATGAAAAATCCTTCCTAATGTTGACCTCTTATTAGCATAATCCATTACCAGGCACAGTTGGTAATTTCAGTCTTGCTTTCTTGAGATCCATGCCAGTGTCAAAATGCTAGACTTTGAGAAAGCCTGAAGGACTGCCTAATTAGCAAGTAATTGAGTTTTCCTGGGTCTTGGCTAACAAACTGAATGAAAGCCCAGGTGAGTGGATGTGCTTGGGTAGTCTGTGTTGTTGCCCGTGTGAGAGGCAAGAGACTTCTGCTACCTCCAGCAGCTGTTCCTTATCCTGGACACCACAGCTGCTGGGAAAGCTGCCTTGGGAGCTGTTAGTGTTTCCTTATATGAGTGTATCTGAACACCCCTGTTGCCTGGTTTGATCTGAGATGGGGGTTTGTGTGCCAGGCTCTAGGAAGAGGGCTCTGGGGAGCATCCTATGAAGGTGCCTAGGAGCAGCACTAGAGGAGGTAGTTCAGGACCTTGAGGTTAGCTTAGCTGAATGTCTCTTGAGAAGGCTTTGAGTCATTTTTCTTAACTGTATCTGTTCCCATTTGGAGTTTTTTTTCCTCCTGGTCTCCCTAGAAGCTCCAGGCAGAGTGGATAGTGAGGTATGCAATGGGAGAGATGAAGGGAAGACTTGAATTGATATCTGCTTCCTTGGGGGGCTGAGGCTTGAATAAATTCTCTCTGCTTTCAGCACTGCTGGGAGAGGGGAATGAATCTGTTTTCTGGTATATTGCGTTCAGTTTTGCTGATGTAATGCTTTGCATGCATAGCTGTTGCCTGGAAGGGATGTTGTTCATGATGGTCTTTCAGCTAGAGCAGCCTTGCAGTGTGTCTGCTGTCACAGTGAGCTGAAGTATGTAGTGTTATAGTGCTAGTGGCACTACAGTGGGATAGTGCCATTTCTAAAATATAATCAGCATGGAAAGGAAACTTCCAGCTTTCCTTAGCTATACAAACAACTCAAATGTGACAGGCCCTGGGGCTTCCAGCATGGGTCACCCACAAGTTTTTGTATGACCAGGGAGGCAGCAATCTCTGGCAAATCATCAGGGCAAGGGTTTAAAGTGGTGAGAGGGAGGCTCTGGGCTGTGGACAGACTGAAGTCCCTCTTGGCTGGGTGCAGGGGTGCAGCAGGGGCTGGTATAGTTGTGGTGGCCCAGAAACCAGCAGAGCACTTCTGGTAGTGGTGGGTTGGCTGGGTTTTACAGCTATCTCTCCTGCCTCTGAGCTGTGTTGTCTTCGTATCACCCCACATCTCTCTGGTATGTGGTCTGGGTTGCTTGGCTGCCGGATGACGCTGGTAGGCAGGATGGAGGTTTGGGGTAGCTGTAGAAAAACTTTCTCCTGTTTTCCACCAACTGTATAGTGCTTCCTGTGGTAATAGGTTTTTGCTAATCTGAGGCTTTGGTCTGTATCACATGTAGCTTTTGGAGGAAAAAGCACTCACTAATTAGCCAAAGGTGTCCTTATTGAAGTTTACTTGGTACATATGACCATCTTACTAATCCTATTTATGAAGATGAATGATATCACATAAATCATCCTTTTTTTTGGGGGGGGACAGAAGGTCAGTAACTTCACTGATGTCATGTATCCCATACAGACTTTGATGCTTTATGGGGTTTTCTTTCTACCTGTTCTCTCCAGACAAGTGGCACAGCCGTTCACGCTGCTCTGCTGTAGACAGAAGTGCCTATTCTGTGGCTGGGCTGTTTGGGTGTGCAGCAGTGCTGAGCTGGCCTGGTGGGGACACCTGAGGTGCTGAGGACTAAAGTCCAAGATGCTTCAAAGTACAGGGTGTCTGGCATCTAAGGTCTAATGACCTCAACACTAACTCTTATCTAGGATTTTCTCTTTGTTTCACCTTGTCTGGTGTTGGTTTTTTAATTATTTTTTAATTATTATTTTTCTCAGACCATCCCTGTGCTTCCACATCAGCTTAAAAGCTAATCCTTGCTTTGGGGAGCAGGTTTTCTGGTGTGTGCCGCTGGCAAGAGTGGCTGGGGTGTTCTTGTTTATGCCTGCCAGGAATAGCCTGTTCAGTTTACAGCTCAGGAGCAGTTATGCTGGCCACAAAAATGAAATTTGATGTTACTGTTCAGCATGTTAATCCTCTGAAGACAGAGAAGCAAGCCCCTCTGCCTGCCTCCCAGTAAGTCCATGAGTGCTGTGTGTATGGCTGTGTCCTCTGACATGATGGGAAGGCCAGTCAAGGGCAGGGGAGCACTGAGCTCTGAGCGATGGGGTCTGGTAAAGAGCCATCTGGGGTAAAAGATTCACATTTGCAGCATTTCAGGATTATTTGAATTTGGCACCTGGCCCAGCCAGTACAGCTGCTCCGGAGGACAGCTCTGTCTGAGCACTGTGAGAGGCAGCAAACATGCCTCCTTCACAGGGCTGTGCTGCTGCATGGTAGTTTGGCTGGGACCTGGTTATCACTTGCACAGAGCTCAGACAGGAGCCTTCCACAGCAAGAAGAGGGGACGGTTTTGTTATGAATTTGCTTGTTTCGCTTCTTGATGTAAGGGGCAACTTCTTTCATCAAAGACCTAAGCACATCCAGATGAGCCAGTAAAATTATCAGTGTGCTTAAAATAAGATCAGTTTAGAGAATCTGAGGACTGGCTCCCTACTCACCAGGATGGAGGCTTAACAGGTGACCCAGCCCCCGACACTGATATTGGATGCACATGCTGATGCTCCTGCACTGATGCTTTTGCATGGTAATGTGCCACAGCATCTGTGAAAAGCAATTACTAGACAACCAGTTCCTTGCTGCTGGTACCTGCCTGCCTTCGATGCTGCACTGT